CAAATAAACTGACAAAATTCCAGCTTTCAAAACATGATTCACCACGGTCTGACGTACGACGCAGCACATAGTACGCAAGGATGAACCAAAATGCTCATACTCCAGTCCATACTTGGTCAGTACACGGATAGTCATCCAAAAATCGAACCAAATAGAAATTATTACGCTGTGACCCTAATGTAACTCCGCCCGGAGTCCCTCCGGGGGCTACTACCGGTCCCAAGCCCGGATAAAGGGGGAGATATCGTAAAAAAACTCGTCCATGATCTCAAAAAACGAATGCCTGGAGCTTAATTAAGATAGCGATTTCCTGACTCAGTATGTAGATGTAGCGAAAGATATTTGATAGGAACACCGACAAAGCCTCATCATGGACATACCTCGTGTTTAGCCATTTCTAGACTAAGTGCTAACCACATCTTCACACAAAGTTACTGTCCACACCGCAATCTTCCTCACGTTGGAATCTATTTAGCTCGCTAACACATGCTTAGAACCGAATATATAATTACGGACGCTAAACAGCTAATAAATGAATGTAATCATGTCGGAAAACGAACGACCTGAGCAGTTGCGAGTTAACTGTGCTCAACAAGTTTCCAAGGATATTTTCAAACGAGTTCAGTGGATGTAGACGTGACAAAATACATTTATTCTAGTGGTTTTAGTGGAAATCCTTGAAGGCGTAAAACCATTGATAAGCAAAACTAAGCTCACAAACTAGGACTACTTCGAAATCCGTGAGTTAGAAACATACCTGAAAAGACTTTTGGGGAGTTCACTTTCCCTCTCGAAATGCTCTCACATGGCCACGCGTATATAGCCTTTGCCAGGGAAGTCCTACTCACTGCCTTCTCGTGGCATTACTGTTGTTTACGAAAATGAGAGGACGAAAAGCTAATGTCCGGCGCTTTAACCGGATTCAAAACCGATGGCGCACATGGGCTCCAGTATTCTGCGGGAACAAATGGCGTATGAACCAATTGTTGGTCACCGGCTTCCATGGGACTGCATCTCCTTACGATGCTTCACTGCCTTGTGGATCAGACCTTCAGGTCGAAGGCTCGGGGTGTGGCCCCCTAAGAAAACCAACTGCTTCGGTTTGGGCACCCGGGCAGTATCACAGCCCTCACACATATCGAATGAGATTTCTGTGGCGCATATGTATTTGGTGCCTCTTTGTACCATTATCTATGTGTTGAAATAAATAAACTTCGAAATACGTGAGTTAGAAACAGACCTGATAAGACTTTTGGCCTAGCGAACACGCAAAAACACACGGGGTACAAGAGTAAGGGTGGGTAACGTCGAGCAACACCACCTCATGTACAAGCGAAGACAATCCCTGGGGAGGGGAAGTATCATGTACGATACATCAAATGACCGCACCCTTATAAGAAACCACGCCTATAGTTCAGTCGAGTGTGCACAAAAAAGATAGATTTGACAGACTGTTAGTATATTTTGTGGTAATCAAACCTTACAATAAACATAACAGAACCAAGAAACAATCAATGTACATGAATGTAGGGATTACCACATTATAAAGATTACGAAGTAATGAACAGTGGACTGAAAAGTCAATGAGTGGACATACCGATTGGCAAATAATGACCTTGAAGAAGCAGCTAAAAGCGTTTCGTCCATAGAAACATTACTTATTTGGCAAAGACGACACCACGAATGGATAAAGGGACCTATGGCATCGATCGAGCAAGGCATATATTGCCTGAAAACTGACTTATCATACTACTTATACTAGATGTGATGAAACTTGGTCTTTAGATAGAGAATTTGCCACATCCGCAATAAATGCAGCACAATTCGTGGAACGGCAGTTGATGAACCACAAGAAAAATCAAGTTTTTGAAAAAGCACATTAATTAAGAAAAATCAGCCCGATTATGTGCGAAAAAAAAAACAAAGAAACCAATGAAAACTACCAAACAAAACTGTACACTTATCAAGAAAAAAAATGAAAAGTCATGATCAATACTATGACCGTGAAAAGAAAATATTGCACCTTCTGGGAACGGGGACAATTCCCATTTTGAAAATATTAAACATTTCAGCGAACTTAACAAATAATGTTAATCAGAAATTAAAGAAAGTGATAGTTCATAATCACACAATCGCAGAACTAATAGGCTGACATAAGTGAACTTATAGTAGTAATAAACATACACAGCACTTGGGCATATTATGAAAACATGATATATGAATAAGAAACAAATAAGTCAGTTTAATGTAGCATTGATTATTAAGCCGGAACTTAAATCTTCCTGCTTTGCATGTAGAACTAAAGTGTCAGCCAAATTATGTGAGGAAGTTAGGACTGTTGTAGATGAGGACTGACCAATAGAATCAACAATAAGTCTATCATGACCTATAAGCGTAGATGCAGAAGGCAAGACGTGGTTTGCAGCACAAATCGTATCAGATGTTGATCGGTGCGCCATCGAACGTGGGATAGGATGAATATTGTGCAAAGACTCAACGGGAGCGGGAGGAAGATGAGAATGAGGTGACAGAGATGGAGGGTCACACAGAGAATCCAATGCTGATTTTATGGTAGAAAGGCCAGATGACGTAATGCATGACGAGGAAAGTGGAGTGGAGTGCATTATGTTTTTATCACCATTCGGGCTTACATTTTGAGTGACTAACATAGCATTTTGTCCGCCAACAACTAAATGACTCAGCAACTGAGATGGCAATACATTTGAGTCACCAGATGATAAAAGCAAGGTGTTACGAGCATCTTCACTAACAAGACAGGGTGCATTGAGATGGACGTCAGAATGGTTCATAGATAATGATGGATCCGGAGTTAAACTAGGCGGTGCAGGGGATGATGAAAGCTCGACAGAAGTTGGAATAGCTGAATGACAACCAGGGATTCGATTAAGGACTGAGTCATTCATTGATTCAGCAAGGTGTGGGGTGGTAATTGCATCATGTGCTGACCGTACAACACAATGATCACCCATGTGAGTGGACATGCGTGCACTGTGGTTGGGTGGAGACCCTTCCAGACTATGAACTGGGGAAGACGTTGAGGCAGTTAGTTGTACATCTTTGTCATCTACCCACTTGTCAAGAGATCTGCGACGAGCATTCATGAAGAAATTAGCAACCGTAGATACTTCCAGATTTAATTGCTGCGCAATGGTGGCTTGCATTTCTTTGCTAGGACGCTTAGTTTCTTTGAAAATAGCATGTAACGTGCGTCTTTGAATATCAGTAAAAACAAGTCGAGGTTTTTTTGAAGAGCGTTCATCTTGAGCTTTCTGAGTTTCTTCTGTTTTTCGTTTACACGCTGCAAAGATTGTGAGTTAAGGAAAACAACTTACTTGCAAGGCGTAAGGCAGACATCCGCTGGTACTCAGGTTCGTTCAACCAGTTCCACATGCGTCTAAACGTTTCACGTCCTGACTTTAGCTTGCTCCAAGGTTTTGGGTTTCTAAGCAGATCAGAAAGCGTTCCTTGGCTTCGACACAAAACTCGTTGTGCAAACACTGCTTGTGGAATGCTGTACCTCTTTAGCTCTGCGCTTATTCTTTGGGCTAAATCCTAAAAGGCAGCAATTTAGGATCAAACAATCAAATTACCTTAGTGTTGAGTTCACTCATATCATCTGGCAGGTTTTGATCATTACCTTCCTGGTCACTGCCATCAACTTGAGGAATAGGTGATACGTTCCCTAAGGGAGATATGAGGATAGAAATTATATTACCTGGGTCAATTAGCTTTACGGGTTTAACATTCACTGATTGATTAAACGTATTTTGGGATGTAACAACAACTGGCGACGCATTCAGATTGCCAGACTGATTAGTGTGAGCATAAGCTAAAGCAATATACAGATAGAGCAATCTTACCAGAATTCCCATCATGTATTTTTTCATTGTTTTTTTGCATTACCGGTTTTAAATCCTCAATAGCGTAACTGTGGCTTTGCTGAATTGATTCGTTATCGTTGGCGATTTGACTATAAAGCTTGTCTGACACGGAGGTTATTGGTGGGAGGGAAGTCATATTTGTGTAATTTGTGGACTTGGAGCCTTCCGATGAATTGGGTTTATCGTTGCCACTAGTCATCTCACCTAGCTGCATTGAAGTAAGCCCAGCAAAATTAAGATCGGTAGCTAATAAGTTATCAGGCAGGGTGAGAGTCATGCCATCTAAACTTTGCTCAGGCATAGTGAAATGTGTAGAAGGGGTAGTAAGAAGAATAGTTTGTTGATCTCCACAGTTGATAAACGTCAGCTTGACAGTTTGAACACCTTGAAGTGCTTGTGCACCACCTTGCAAAGCTTGTAGTTCTAGAGGACCGGAGTCACCAGTGTTAAAAATAGGAATATTCTCTAAATCACTGAGTGGGAGACCAATTTTACCGGGAGCAAGAGCACCTATAGGAACAGGAGCCATAGTTAGTGTCCCACAACCGGAACTAGCAGGTATTCCAGAAGAAAGCATCCTGGGCTTAGAAACAATGTTTACTCCTTTTCCAGGAACAGATAATCCATCCTCATGACTCTGCCCATTTAGATCAAAATTTTGACTGTCAAGAGCAGCTTTTAGAGAAATATTATTGAGTGCAGCTTCGTCATGCAGGGAAATACCACTAATCAGTGACTGGAATGATCTTTCAGTCATTTAGCATCCAGGATGTATGTAAATAGCCGTCTAAGAAGCAAATTTTAACGACCTTCCAGAAAGCGTGCGAAAAAATTCGATCGAACTTATCGACGTTCTGCGGTCAATACTGCGAAGGACAAATCCATTATGGCCGTTCGATATGAGTGCGCGTGGTTGGTCGATAATCTGTACCGATATAGTACCAGATTTTTGACTGAATGCTGTTACTGTTACCAATTAATTTAATTTTAAATTATTAATTAAACATGCAGATAGCTAATTATTACATAAAGACTCATTTTTAAATCAAATGTTTTGTTGATAAGTTGTAGCACAAAAGTAGTATGCTGCAAAATACCCTCATTTTTTATAGGGCAACCGCGCAACATGAAACTCGAACAGTGTAGTAAGTACACTCCATAATTGCTCATATTCCTACTTACTACATGTTTTAATATTATGTATTATTTAGAATCATTTAAACACCAGCAATATTAGGTTGGTATCATTACAAAGTGCTCAGAGTCCGGTTGGATGAATGATTGTACAACATAATTAAGATTAATACATCCCTATATTGTTCATTAGGTTTCTCCTGAGTAATTTAGTTTTCAAGTATTCGTCATCACATTATCACTGAGGCAGAAGCAATGCGTCGGAGACTCATTCTAGTTTATATGACACTTGTATGCACACTTGTCCATACAACTGGAAGGTTGTAAGAGTGAGACGGGCAATGGCATGTTTCCTCGTCGAGTAGGTCTTGTAGTTTTAGTTATCCCAGAATGTAAAAGCTTCTCTCATACTTATTTAAGCCGGGTTTCTAGTTACAGTTACAGTGTCCATCACTTTTAGAGCTTCCACAACACTTCTAGGGATGAGCTCTTTTGTTTCTGTCTTCTTTCATTACTCGATTATAACGTTTTTTGTATTGGTTCTGTGAGCTCACTTAATTTCCATGACCTAATTAAAACGTCGTTGCTTCAGACTCATATGTTTATCTCCGACAGGATGGAATACCATTAGACAACTGTAACAAGTGGTATCACAACATATGCACCGGACTCACATCGGTTGCATATATGGGGTGTTGCAATCCAGTACCTAGTTAGTTGTTCAAGGCATGCTGCTCTACAAAGTCTACTGGAAACCGTGACGGTTTTCCACCGCAAAACATACTGTTAGTAATTGTTGTAGTCTTTTTTGGTCAGAGGTTGGTATGCGTTGGATGATTGCTGCTTTGAGTTTATCATAGGACCATGTTCCTGCACTTGGTCGATTAAGTCTCAAATTTCTGCAGCGATCTCAACCGGAAAGGCACATACTGTGCCCACATATTCGGTTGCTTGTGATCGGGTTCCTTGTGCCAAAAATAAAGCTATCTGAGCAAACCAGATCGTCTGGTTTTTACCCAGTATTATGGAAATCTGAAGTCCGAAACGGCATTAACTGTGGTTATAATGTGTTCAGTGATGTGATTCAGACGAAGCTTTTATTAGAGGACACTCGATTTCATCAAGATCGTTATGAGAATACATTATACGAGGAAACCTACCGGTCTGGTATAATAATCAGCATGATCAACCAAATAAACGTTCGGATTCACCAGATAATTGTAAAAACTATGAAAATTAATGAAGAAGTGCGAATAATTGCAAAATGTCTATGTTAACTATCCCCACATGCTCCTTTTCAATGGATCTACTACCCTGTAGATTTTTTAGCGAGAACTGTATTAGAACAACGCATATAAGCGAACAATTGTTTTCAATTAGATCGTCATCAGGCTTTACTCTAATATATACATGAATATTTATACGAAAATGTAAACCAATCAAGGCAATATGGGTCAATAATCACAATGAAATAGAATAAGTCACTACACATATAAGGTAAAAGTACAAGTTTATAGTAGGACGACAGGTGAACTGATAATAGTAAGAATAATAGAATACGATAACATAAGTCTTATCAATAGTTAAACGTTGGGAATAAAAGGTCAAACAAACGTGGGTAAATAGACTAGGAACAGTAATCACAAAACATTAAAATCATTGCGAAATAAGATGAGACTATTAAGAAAATTGGTTTATATTGCCGCTACATTGACGACACCTTCATTATCGTAGATCAAAACACAAGTAAGGAGGAACTCCTAGAACAATTCAACAGTGTGCACTCAGCGATCACTTTCACTGGTGAAGGCGAGCATGATAAGAAGCTGAACTTCCTTGACGTCACACTAAGCAGGTGAAGTGACGGCACATTAAGTAGAAGCGCATATAGAAGAAACCCCTCTTCATGCCAATATACTCACTTCTGTAGTTTCACATCTATCCGTTACAAGAGAAACTTGGTCAGATGTCTCACTAGCAGAGCAAAAAAGATCTGTCCAGTAGATACTCTAAGTCAGGAGCTTGAATTTATCAACAACACACTGACCGAGATCGGCTACCCCATTGCTTTCATTAAGAAGTACATGTATGACATAATAAAGAAGACGGAGATTTCGACTGCTCGTAAGAAACCTTTATACATAAAAGTGCAATTCAATGGGGATGTGTCTAGTGACACTCTGAAATATAGGTTAAATAAAGTAATCACGAAGACATTCTACGCAATCAATCTAGTGTTGACCTTCTCTTGTCGACCAGCGATGTCTACTGAAACGAAGGATAAGTTACCTGAGTTGGCCTCTATGTGCATTTACAAATTCGGCTGCTCCTGTGGAGATAGCTATATAGGGCGTACTACCAGGCAACTTAACCAACGAATGAGTGAACATCTACCAACTTGGTACATGAAGGGCCAGATAAAATCTATTCGCAGTTCTATCTTGGCACATCTCATTGATAGCGGTCATGCTGTAGATAAGTCGAAATCATTTCGAGTTATCTATCGTATACCTCCATCATTTTCCAACGGAGTTCGTTCTCGCCTCCTACATATAGCTGAAGCCATTGGAATTCGTACATATAACCCTAATTTATGTGTACAGAAGAAATACGTGACCCCCCTATCCCTTCCATGGTCAGTTATAACTTAACTAACGGTTTTTTTTAAAATTTTATTATTATCATTATTTATTTTATTCTGTTTGTGTTATCGTCAACCTTATTTTCACATCTGGTATTTGTTTGTAATTTTCCGCCTCTTCGTATTCATCACTATCTAATTATTTACACACATCTTATTACGTAATGATTTTAATGTTTTGTGATTACTGTTCCTAGTCTATTTACCCACGTTTGTTTGACCTTTTATTCCCAACGTTTAACTATTGATGAGACTTATGTTATCGTATTCTATTATTCTTACTATTATCATTTCACCTGTCGTCCTACTATAAACTTGTACTTTTACCTAATATGTGTAGTGACTTATTCTATTTCATTGTGATTATTGACCCATATTGCCTTGATTGGTTTACATTTTCGTATAAATATTCATGTATATATTAGAGTAAAGCCTGATGACGATCTAATTGAAAACAATTGTTCGCTTATATGTGTTGTTCCAATCTTCACAATGGGAATCTTTAATATTCTAGAACTGTATTAGATAAAGTTATGGATTATTGCTCTAATTATCTGATCAATGCGATTACAAAAAAATATGTAGATGGATGATTTAATTTCTAGTAAGATGCTACAAGTAAACTGTAGGTACCATTATCAAGGTTTGGCTTGATAATTTCAAATAAATTGGGCATTGGGTAGATTGTTGTAAATAAAATATTTGTAATATCCCTATGAGTAGAAAAATAAGATTTTCTGACGTTTCGTGACTCGTAAGTCACTTCTTCAGAGAATATATAACCAAATCAAATTCCAATTTTAGATAGTACTATTTTACAATTATTTTATTTGAAATAAGCAAACTTTTCCAACACAATTTGATGTGGTGTTTAATGTGGCCAAGATGATTTACTTAATTCTACGAATTAATTTCCTATCATATAACTTTAAAAACCCATAGTCATTCTAAGATCTTTTCACATCTTAAGTAATCTACTCCAAAGATAGCTAATTATGTATATTAAAAAGGCTCCGGATTTAGGGGTATTACTGTTTGGTATTTTTTGGGGGAATGGAATTTTTGTTCAATCGCTAATTCTTTATTGCACTTACCCAACAACAGTCAAATTTTGAGCTTGTTTTACCATTGTAGATCTTAATTTATTTGTTTATTTGAACATATAGATATTGGTACAAGGGATCACGAGATACATATGCGCCAAATATCTCGTTTGATTTGTGTGAGGGCTGTGATACTGCTCGGGTGCCCAAAACGAAGCAGGTTTAGGTCTTAATATGCGTTATGTTGTTTGATTTTGATTTGTGTGGCGCATATATATCTAGTGCCCCCTTGTACTAATATCTATGTGTTCAACTAAATGAAATAGATAAATCTAATGATCTTTTATTTTATTCATACTCAACTAATGTATTTGTTTTCGTCTATGGTTGTGTCTAGCAAGGAACTGAGATAACACGTTTTGTTGAACAAGTGTAACTGCATCCTATTTTTTAAATTAGCATTCTCATCAAAGTCGAAAATCGCGTGGTAGGAACTCCCTACTTCTGAATTTGTTTTTTAAATAACCGATTGTATCGTAAGCAAAACTGTAAGGATAACTAATGATGTACGTAAACTGAGCATTTATTTGTAGTCATTATTGTTGATTTTTCATAGAAATTTACTCAGTAAATTAGTTTACGTGGAATGTAGGTTTCTTAATGCTTTTGTATTAGCAGACATCATCGAAAATCACGAAATAAGTAAATGAACTAGTAACAAAATAACCAATCTTATTATCTGATCATTTGTCTGATATCGTCAATTGATCCCAAAAATCTACATTCGAGCTGAAAATTATTACTTCTTGATTTGATCTCTTTAAGATTATAGAAACAAAGAGTAAAACTTATTAATCTAACGTTTACATGTTCGTTTATGGCACTCTGTACTAAGTCATTTCATTATTCAGGGTTATCTTATTTCTGATATGAGGAATGTTAATTTTTAAAAATATCGTCTCATTGGATTCGCAGTGTTAACACCTAATAACAGTCAGTCAGTCAGCTATAACGTAGGACCAGGCACATATATACATCGGTCCAGGTTGCCATACCTCATTAGCACAGCAAGATAAACAATCGCCGAAAAAGACGTCACTCTTATCTGCTCTCAGTCCAAACATTTAGACCGATTGGTAGAATACAACTACTCATCAGTCAGCCACAACGTATGACCAAGTACATATATGTATCGGTCCAAGTTTTCACACCTTATTAGCACAACGAGATGACCACCAAATTCATAAAAGCAGTTACTTCATTGGTAGCATTATATACAAGAAATAAGGATATGATACAGGGAGAAAGAATTAGTCCGTAGAAAGGA